ATTTTTAGATATAAAATTTACAAAAATTATAAAATATTTCATGTTTTAAAAAGACAAAAATAGGCAGAGCTAAGATGGCAAATAGATAATAGCTGGCTACAGAAGCTCCCTGAGATAGTCAACTTACAACTCAACATAATACAACATGGGGAGCCCCAAAAAGAGGGAACTGTGGGAGTTCATGGCCACCAATCCAACCCTACAAAAAATACTGAAGGACATTCCAGAGAGAGAGAGAGAGGAAAAAAATACCAGGATTCCAGCAACAGTGACTGAGAGGCCTCAGTGAATGGGGCAGACAGTGGAATGAAGGAGAAAAGTGGACAAATAATGACAGAAGAATAAAATAGCACAAATGAAGCAGAGATGGTAAGCTGTAATATTTAATACAGATAGCCCTGATACACTAACAAGAAAAGAAACACAGGCAGAGTAGATTAGGAGGTGCGATCCATCGAGATGCTCTGAGTAGGAGATACACTCAACCTGAAAGAGGGTTAATAAACTGAGAGTCAAAGATGAGAAAACAATGCTATATGTGACAGGAAACCAGAGAGAAATAGGGACAACTCACCCAGGAGCCACAAATGGACAGGAAGCTATGACACTTTTGGGCAGTATAGAACTACACAGCTGGAGGAAGGACAATCTTGTGACTTTAGTAAGTAAAAAGTACAGCTCAAGATCAAGCTCAGGGGTAAAAAGGTTTAACAACACTCACATAGATAACAGGTTGGCCCCCTAATCTAAAAACTAAAAGAGCTAGTGAGACCTAAAATATACAAAGCCCCTGAGAAAGGGAAAATGGAGGAATTGTCTAAAAAAGGAAGGCAGAGGACGTTGTTAATACTATGTTGTACAAAGAGAACAACTAGGATTAGGACATGGAGTTCATAATATTTTTATAATGGTCACCGGAAGTTAACACTGGAAAATGCAGGAAATTTATCCACAACACCAAAGACACAGATTATTTAGTCAAGGGTGTAAACCCCGCAGCACATGTCCCACACGAGTCCAGATAAAACCCAGAGCTCAGAACAATGCCTCCCAGGAGGTCCAGAGCCCACAAGAAGGACTCAAGCCAGTCTCTTTCACGGATCCATGCTGCGAAGACGCAAGGGTCAGCGGTGGAAGCCAGAAAGTCTATGCCAGCAGGATGAAGGAGCTGTGCTAGTGGGATGAGGGTTCTACGCTGGAGCCAAGAAGTCACACTCACAACAAAAAGCAGGACCAGCCTGAAAGGCACCACAGCTGCCCTCAGCGACAGGGAGGCCCTGAGCTCCGACGACAAGCACAGTGGGGTGCGTGCCAGGAAGCAGTGTGAGGAGTTCATCCTGGAGACCAAGCAGCGCATGTCTTCCCCTATGGAGCCAGGAAGCAATGCTCGATGTGAGGACCAAAGCTTCCCCAGGAGAACCAACAACTCAGACAGCAACTCGTAGGAGAACCCACAATGCCTCCTTAACGCCTCAATCCCTCTCAACGCCTCCCTTCTCCACCTAGTTATCCTGGCAACTTTCCTCAGGTGGAGCATCTTCTCTCAATGCATGCTGATGTAATCCAGCTGGCGTTAAGGTGACCACTAGTTATCAATCCTTAACACTATATCAGGATTTAAAAGTCACTGTAGTCTTTTTGCTCTGTTTAGTTTGTTTATATTTTGTTCCAGTTTGTCTACTCATATTAGTTTTGAGGGCACAGACAGCTAACCCAAAAATAGCTGGTTATACCATGGTAACTATTCTTAATTTCCTATTAACTTACATTGAAACCCTGTATTACTTACATTGTCTTACTATGACTGATCTCATTTGAAGCTGGTTTGTTAGACCATTGTTTTGCCTTGGCTGATTTTATTCAAATTTGGTATCCTTGATAGTATCAAGTCTGGGAGTGGAGACAACTACTCTGAAGATGACAAGATATAAAAGATATCCCTTCTGGTTTTGATTATTAACTGTTTTCAAGTCTTACAATATCTTCACAGTTTTTTTTTATTAAAATAGCTATGTAATATTATGTTCAATTATATTATGCCTGATGATGTGGACAAGTCTATTGAAAATGACAAGAGAAAGCATAGTAACTACTGTAGATCACCTAATATTGTGGTCCTATATACTTTTTCATTTTATGTTTTTCTAGGAATTTATTTTGTTGTCTTGTTTTGATCTGTTTTTCCCTATAATACAGAAAGGATAGATATGCATATAGAGATTCACACATGAGAAGAATTTCTAAACTATTTATGGGAACAGATTATATAATACATGACGTAATTAACGGATGCTCTGAAGAGGAAGAGACACTAAGAAACCCAGTGCTAATTCTGTAGCGTTATGATATGAAATCTAGCAATACTATCATTCACTGTTCAGAGTGATATTAGTCTAGTCTCTTTTGTTCAGTTTCAGCACACGTAATGATAAAGACAGCTACTACGAAGAGACTGAGAGACATTATGGTAGACATTATTGACTTTCTCAAAATCAGGTCTTGAAAACCTAAAAAGTCTTCATCATCCTGTAATGATCTGATTAGTTCTATAATGTTCAGTATATATTCAATGAGTATAAAGATGGGGACAACTATCTGGAAGAAAACTAGAGACAATAAGATAGACAGTGATCTCCAGTGGACTTGCTTTGAAATTTATGTTTCTTTAAATTGTTTCCTTATAAACTGTTCTGCTCTGTGTTGTTATGTTTAATTTACCCTCTTTAAGATAAAAAACAAGTATGTAGGACTGATAACCATATTACTAAGTTCTTGTTGGATCACTGAGCAGAACTGTTTGCAGTGTCATTGTTTGAATATCACTTTGTATGCTTTAATTTTGTAACTTGTACAACTATTTCTAACATGATAGTATGTAACTTATTGACTGGTGATTTCTTACTGTTTATTTTTCTGAAATTCTGTATTGTTTCTACCCTTTTTATTTGTTTTTTTTTTCTTTAAATAAAAAAGACAAAAATAATGGAATAAATTGAACACCAAAATATAAATCCATTAGACATGTTCAGAATACATTGGTTTCACGGGATTGTACAAATTAATCATGTGCATGCATGTACTAAATTGTAGTTTTTACAGAACTATTGGTTTCACAATTCAACAAAAGCATCAGGAAGAGCTTATATTGTAAACTGCCGAAACGCTTGGGTTAGGACTGATATTGAATAAACACTTGAAACTTTATACACCAATAGAAATTGTACTTGTCTTGCCTTTCAGTTAGATTCCTTTCAGATTTCTACAGCATACTTGCTGCATTTTCACCTAGTATTTTCTTTCATCAATATATGCTGATACTTCTTTACCTGAGTGTTTTCTTTGCTGTACTATATTTTTAATCAATGTATTTTCACAATGAAAGAGTCATTTATTGGAAACATGGCTTCTGAAATCTCTTACAATTAGGGAAGCAGAAATACTTTTATGCTTTAATGAGCAAAAACTTTATTTAGGTCAAATGCATTATGAAATGAATATATGATTATGAATTATAGTTCAAGACTAGTCTATCAGATTCCTGCAATGATTCTTAGGGTAGCAACAACCACAAAAGTTATTTAAATACAGAAAAAGAAAAGTGAAAAAAAATCTCAAAATCCCAGATCCATCATAAGGAAATGTGATAGGTTCAAACAATATTTGTGCAACGTTATCTCACATAAAAAGTCCAAAATACAACATAAGACATAATTTTCATCTCTTACTAACCCCATTAACCCTCCTTACCCACATTAGTGTTTATGCTTCAAACTTCAAGGCTTCTTGCTGTCTCTTACCATCTTACAATCTCACCCCACCCCCAATCCCAAAATTTACTCTTCTCTTACCCAAACATTGACAAAACATTGCTGCATTTTGGTTTCTGCTTTTCTTTATGACATCCATAGAGTATATCATAAATGAGAAAATGTATCTGTTTGCCTCTCATTTTATCTCCAGTGTTTGGAATGTTAGTCATTCAATATATTTTTATTGAATGAGTAGCATGAAAGTTTGATCAATGCATCCAATTCTAATTTAGATCTATGATGTAAGTATATGAGTAAATTTTCCTAATTGACTTTACCCTTGAGACTTTTATAGTTCTGCTAGAGTGTAAAAATTTACTTGTGTTACTTGTGGCATTTCTTTTCGGCAGACCCTTCTAGAACGCTCTTTCAGGAAAACATCTACTGAATAGTGAATAATATGCTTCATTACACTGTTCTAGGAGTACTAGGAATAGAAAATATTATTATTGCTTCACTACCTAAATTATTTAAGTTATAAAATGGGTAGTGAAATGTTGACATCATATACAAGAAGGGTTACATGTGCATAACGTTGTAGTACTAAAGGTCTAGAAGTTCTGGTTGGTAAACTATGAGAGCATTATTATTTTGAAAAAAGTTTTGTATCAGTATAAATGGATTGTAGTCATGATAATTTCACCATCAAAGGCAGAGGGAGAATGTTTTTCTCTGTAGATCACTCGGTTTTGAATATAGATATTTGAAATTGTGATAAAACATCTTTATAAGTGGAATTATACCTCATATTTTTTTATGTCATTTATCTCCAATGAATATACATATTTGCACAATAATATGCTTTTTTCTTTCGTTTTCTATATAGTGAAGTTTTCTATATGATAAAAGTATAATATCTCGGTACTATAATTGGAGTCTTTTAAAAAATAAATATTCCAAAGTGTTTTCTGTTTTGATCTCTCTTCTGAATATGTTTAAACTTTTGCTTCAACACTTTTGTTCATTATTTTGTTTTGAGATTTAACTTTCCATGGTGTGTGTGTAAGTTTGATAGACTCGGAAAAATCTGGATCTTATCTCTTACAAGTCTTATCTACCATTGTATATTGTATAAATAAACCACCATTATGCCTGTGTGTGGATGTGTGTGGTGGGGAGCATTACTATTTCTAAACACACTATAATGAGTCTTTAATTCAATCTAACACAATGTTTGTCTTTTTATTTAAGGAATGCAACATTGTTCGGCACTCTGAAGAAGTGGTTCAGCTGAAGTGCTGTCAGCACAGGTGTATTTATTCAGGTGATAAAGGAAGACGGCAATGGCCTTTTGGTGAAGCGAGTGACCAATCAGAAGAGCAGCACAGAACAGAGCACATGTCAAAGAGGACATCTGGACACAAGATTGGGTTTTAAAAAAAACCATGTACCTTAATGTTTTAAAATTTGCTTTGCATAAGCTCTTAAATATCCATAGACACTTTATCTTTCAATCATAAATCTATGCCAAGTAGAGTTCATAAAACTGGAATGGGAAGTCCCTCCTTACGCCACAGTGCATTCATAGAAACCTGTACGTGGAGCAGATTGTTCTAAAATTTTTATATTTCCTCACAGGAACAATGTTGTAATTTGATATTATATGGTAGGCCAAGCATCAAATAAATCATAGACACAATTGAAAATATGTCATAAAGATTTACAACTATAAATTTGTGCAATAACTCCAAATGGTAAAATTATGCTCTGTGTTTTAAGCAGTGGACATAAACGTACTATTCACTCTGATCATTCACAGACCCAAGTGAACCATAAAGGAGAAGTAAAATATGTAAAACCACAATTTGATTGTATCATAAATTTTACCTACCTGGAAGATTTATGTAATTTAATTTTCTTCTCTTCATGCTTTCCTTTCTTAACAGCACCTCATTCTATCACTATACCCCTTACAAAACAAAATTATCCCATTCTATGTGAATTTTAGTGGTCGGATTCATCCTCTCTACAGAATTTCTAAACGATGAACCTCAGATATGTCTTAAATCAAACTATGACCAATATGGAACACTTATTTGGGAACTGTATGTCTAAACAAAAAAGGTATGTGTATAATACTGTTGGCATACATTTGTCTGACTTTATTATTCTTTTCTTTTTATTTTTTCCCACTTTTGCAAGTTAGTCACAGAGAGGAATGATCGAAATTGCTTTTTGAGTGATTAAAATGTATGGAATTACCAGTGTGTCTCTTTTTCTCTAATGTGTACAAAGAGATCCTTGCCAGATGCTACCAGAAAGGGGCAAACTGAACAAGAAACAAATAGGAACATTATGCGAAGAGTAAGTGGGCTTACAATGTTAGTTGAGAGGTCTTTCAAGTGAATATTTTGCAAGAGCTATCAAAATCAAAAAGAAGACTTCTTTCAAAGCTGGAAAGAGCATTTGAAAAATCTCAGCATAGTACTAATAGTAAAAAGATATAGAAAAAGGAATTTATAATCTCTGGTATTAGCAAATTTGAGAATGATAAAGCTCACACCTGAGAAAGCTTTTTGTCTCCACCTCAGCTGCCACTGATGGGTTTCAGCCTCATGACACTTTCCGGAACAGAACTGAATTGCTGTGAGAAGTTCATTCTCACAAGAAAAAAAATTATTGTGAAAAGAGCTGCAAAGACAACAAAGTAAGACACAATTGGGAAGTAAATTGCTTCTGTGATACCATACAAAAGTATCAGATTGTTTAGACCCTTTATGTTTAAAGGTTTCTGTGGACCTGGACTTACATATAAATCATCTCATTTTAAAGTTAGACAGTTTAAGACTTTTGATAAAGTCTTGTTTGTCCAAACAGGTGATGTTGTATGGCTGAGAAGAGAGAAACTTAAATCTCAGAACAAGGTGGAAATTTATAGGGGGGAAAATATAAAGTCTGACTACTAATAAAATTATACCTTCCTCATGAAAACTTCAAAAGTGCCTGGACTTGTGAGCATGCAATTCATCATTTTTTCTATAGATAAGCAATTCAATTTGTGCACCACAATGATTTTTGTGCTTCTAACTTTCTTTAAAAGATCCCTGGCTATTTTAGTTACTGTTGGATGGGGTTGTCTTTGGAGAGTTTTAGATACTAAAATTTTCAAAAGACATTTTGAGAATAGCTATTGCATTTGTGAAAAATAATTAAAAATAGTTTTCCTCTATCTTAAAGTTTCTTATTAATTTGACAAGTATTTACATTTATCATGGTGGAAACTTCCCCAAATAGAAAATTAAAATAGAAAATTAAAATATTCTAAGTCTAGTAAATTAGCAATGAAAACTGTGATGAATGTGATCCTTATGTATATCAAAAGTGTACCAGTAAAAATAATTAGAAAATAAATTTTCATCAGTATGCTCTTATTTTTTCATTATCAGCTATGTCTATCTCTAGTGATTCAACCGGAGTAATTATACCCAATATTTTCTGACATCAGCTATCCCTCATCCCTTACATCTTTAACCTTAACTGAAACAATTTGACTACTGAACACAATCAAATATTCTCTGTCTCACAGACTTCACACAAATGCACACATACAGAAACTGAAAGGTCATTTTAAGGACTTGTTCTGTTTTTCATATACCTGCTTCCACATTTGATATTAACAACTGCAGGACTGTTCTGTAAGTGCTGCCTGACCCTCAATTCTGCTTTTTTTTTTTTTTTTTTTTTTTAATGTATTTTGGCTTGTAGTTAACACAATCAGTCACCTGCTCACGTGTGCCTGGTTTTCCCTCACTCCCCTGGAGCATTTGGCCTTGTCAAGGCTACTTTGCAATTCTGCTATTTTTTCCACAATGAGCTTTCATGTTTCTCTATACTTTCACGCTCTCTCCTCGATTCTTTCTCACATTCTGACATCGGTATCCTCCACATATTCTGCATTTGCTTTTTTTTTTTCTCAGTAGTCTCCTGTAGTGATCTTACTGTCACACAATTGTTTTTTATCTCTTCACGGTGGGTGGCCCCAAATGTCCATCCTCCTCTAAGATTCATTGTTCCTAATATTTAATACTCTGGGGTTTCTACAGAGATTTTTCACTAGAAGATTTGTGCCTAGGATACACTTGCCTTTTTCCAACTATACCAATCTAAATTTTACATTGCTCCCAAAAATCACACAAGATATCAACCCCACTGTAAAAGTGCCCAGATTAAATAAAGTCTCCTTAAGTCATGGTACCTTGTACGAGCTTTCAGGTCTATTCTAACATTTGCTTGGCAAATGTCTGTCTATGACTGCAACAGTATTTTCAAATGTACTGAAGAAAAGGAAATAATTGCAAATTTTAATCTTAAATATTTACTTAAAAAGGTATTTCAGACACAGATATATAATATTGATGTATATAAATGTTTCAAAAGCTACATTACTATAAAGTTCCTGGAATTTTTAGTTAGGATTTGTGAAAATGTTGCTCATCTTAAAATATTAAGACTTAATAATATGAGGATTGAATTTATTTTAGAAAATGTATATTATCTCCAAAGAGTTGTATTTACTGTGGATATTTGATCTGTATATTTAATATTGAATTATAGAATTGCAAAGGTTAAAATGTAACCAAGCCAAATTCCTTTAACATAAAACTGAGACCAGCTCAAGATGCAACTCGTATGTATATGACACATATCAGATTCTCTTTTATTCATGCTGGCACGAAGTTTACCTTTTAATGGCACCACAAAAATCAGGTATACACAGAAGTAGTCTCCACAAAAAATTACTAGCAACTTTATGTGGCAAAATGAAGGACTGTCTTCTCGGATTCTCTTTGTTAATTTCTATGTTCATGCTCTGATGATACCATCATACTGTGAAAATACAGTAATAACAGAACATTTCATTATGTTTTATGTCCAATTGTAAAATTGACGTTTGTAAGGAATGGACATTTTGCTGCCTCTATTAGATAATGATTGTAGATAAGCTTATAAATACATTGTATTTGTGGAGAAATGGCCCTCCCTTTAATGTGGCATAGGTGAACAATACAACCCCCAATAAAGTATCCCATAGCCGTCAGCTCAGCAACATTTCACAGACTGAATTTCTTTCCACCTCACTTTCCTAATTGGTTGCATAAAAATGATACCTACTTCTTACAGATTTGGTAAACATACGTAAAACTGTGTGAAATCGTTATTGAATTCTCCATGATAAGTATAATGATTATGTACTGTAAACATCTACTAATAAAATTTAAAATTAGAACAATACTTACCAAAAACAAAGTCTTTTTAAAATTTTTCTTATCTGTACTTAAATTTCTAACGATTCATTTTCTCCAAGAATGTTTTCATAATGTTCCAGCCAAGATATTGGCAAACTGTTAATGTCAAGTTTAAAGTAGTAAATACTTTAGGCTGCGCAAGCCAGATCCTCTCTCTTGTGGCTGCTGAATCATTGTAACCATGAAAATAGCAGTATTCTAGATAACATGTAAAGGAACCGCACCACAATTTCCAAAAAATACAACAAACAAATAAAAACAGAAGGCATGGGTTAGCCTGTCTCTCTATCCCTTTATCTCACTTCTACTTTAATACCTAGAGGAATTATATTCGTCTATTTTCATTTTATTTAGGCTTTGATCCAGAGAATTCCAAAGTATGGTACATTTTATTTAATTTTCAATTAAAGATCAGTTTATGCTTATACCAACACTAAAATTAAAGAAAATTTCCTTCTGAAGACGTCTTTATCTTGACTGCGTATTTCTAAACTTATTTGTTGCTTATTTTCAAACTGATAATTTTGCTTTCTTACTGCTGAAGAAAAAATATTTATTTTTTTTCTCATTGGACATCTATTATTTAGATTTTTTTCACTTTTCATTTTCATTAACAAATTCTATAAACCTATGTTACAAAAGAGGCTCCTGTGACCTTGAATTATGATGGCCCTTGGAATAGATTGAGACATGCCTCCCAGATCAAGAAAACATGCTTCTGGGTGTGCCTGTGATGACTGACATGGAAACCAGCAAATTGAGGACAGAAGACCCACCCTGATTGTGGGTGGTACCAGCCATTAGGTTTCCAGTTTATGTGACAGAAAATGAGCAAGAAATGTCCTCAGTTTGAAGCTCTGGTTTTCCTGAGTGAATTTCCTTATCAGTCACAATGTCTCCAGTTTTTTTAGGCTTCCTGTAAAGACTCAGCATGCCAGCGACCCTTAGTGAACTTTGAAGCCTTCAGCTTAGACTGGTGCCGCATCTTTGATCCCTTTTCTGCACCTTCTGGCTTGCTGGTCGAGCAGGTTGATGCATCTTGTGGTCCTCAGCAAGCAACCACCACTGAGGACTGGCCTGCCTCTGATTTTGGAAGCATACCTAATAAATACCCTTGCGTAATTATGCATATATTTCTGTCGATTCTATCTTCTTAAAGGTTATCTTATCTTTGTAATTAAATGAGTGGTATCTATGTCATAGAATTACTGCATCTATTTCAAGGCAGTAGTCTTAAAAATATGGGATATCCAGTGTCCACACCATTATTTTGAAGCTTTTCAAGAATCTTGATGATCTGTCTCTTTAACAGTGCTTACTCAAGCAAAATTATCAAGCGAATCGTGGTCAGAGCTGCTATTTGCAGGCACCATTAGTTCAAATTTGAGGCCTGAAGCTGTCTTTAAAGGAAAGATTTGGAGCAATGTGGTTTTTCCACTATATATCACATAATAATGTTAGCTTCATAATGAAAAAAAAAAGTATCACTGTTTTAAAGTTTCCCAGCCCTGGGCACGAAGGCAGACCGAGCCCCATCAGTGTGAAAATAAAAGCTCTTTTGCCATTAGTAGTGTCCTTTCCTCAAAGGGTATTTGCTGCTTTTTATTCATTTTTTTTTCTTCTAGAGAAAAATTTATTTTTTTCATTCCTGTCTTAGTATTTGGTTATTGGCAAATCCAATACATATTAAAAATGAAAACCAAAGTATATAAGACCATGGCATATAAAGTTATATATGTTAAACAGCACAAAATTATGTAAAATCCAATTTAAACTTTGAATAGACCTACTGAGATATTTTAGTATGCCTCTATTATGCTGTTATCTGTTAAATCGACATAACAGAGCAAAATACATATCTAAATAACTATTATAACACTGTTTTAAAAGGATAAAAAATAGAAACACACACGACATAAATTTGAGTGAAAATATGCAAAATTTCTTTCACAGTAACTTGTTCCGTTACATTGGAAGGAATTAAATGACTCAATATTACAAATCAAGTTTGCAGTAATTAAAAGTGTGATGTCAGCAGTCCTTATATACATGGGTAGAAAAAAGTATACCAAGATAGCCTCGATTTTGGGTTATTTTCATGTCTTTTATTGTATTATTCTTTGTTTTTTGTTTGCTATAAGTGTGATTAATTCAGATCATTTTATAGAAACTGTTTAGTTCAATACTTATTTACTTTTTAATTAATTATATGCATTTGCAGAACAAAAAATTTGCTGGCTTACAGTAAATTTATGAAAAATATAAATATTGGATTCATTCCCAGGTAAACAGGAAAAATGCAAAATGTACCAATAGTCGTTGGGAGAAAGAGTCCTTGGAAGAACTAATCCCTAAATATTATCTCCATATTAATAAAATTAAAATGATGGATAAATTTTGTACTTATTTTTATTGTATAATTTTTAAAATTTTAATTCTAAAATATAATTAAAACCAGTTCTGATAAAATCTTTTAATTATGAAAGTGTAATCCTGGGTAAACATGTAAAATTAGAGTAATATCCAGCACCGGCTTACAAAGGAAATTCTGCATCTTCTAAGATTGAAGTGAGTAACATTTTGCTGTCATTATTATTCCTACTATTGGGTAAAGGTAGTTTGAAATACACACTTTTTACAGTGATAATCTTACCATCTTTTCTCACAGACATCTTAATACTGGCTCTGCAATTAATTATTATATTCACATTGTGAGGACAATGTGAATACAAAATTCATTTTCAAGGGCGTAATAGAATGCTGTTACCAAAAGACAAAAAGCTACTCATTTTTTCTTACAAACAAAATATTATCATGAAAATATCTTCGATATTTATTCACTGTACAGATACAGATTATGTGACAAACATGTCAGATTTTACTAACGAGGCTGAGATGTCAGGCGAAAACTAA